AGGGTTTTTAAATTTTGGAAAATTGTGTTGTCAAAGGCAAAGTTGCTCATTTGTATTTAAGTTGCCAATACAGCATACCTGCATCAACCTGCATTTGTAGCTAATTAAACTCATGGTAATTGCACCTGTCGGTGCAAATAACTGATGCTTCATTATGTCTTCTAATATGGTCCTGCCTGAGAACTGACAAAATGAAATCTGTATAATGTTATTACCAGTTTTTTCCCTTTTGTGTCTCCTTAATATTGCATTTAGGGCATTGTGTTGACATTTTTCAATCATATGTGATTGTAAGGTATATTATCTATGTTTTTTTCTTGACAGTAAAAGGTATTATTACTTCAATTTTTATTATAAAACAGAAGTCAATGAGACTCATACCTTTACAATTACTGACCTAAAGAAAGAATATTCTTTTTCAAAAGAAACCTTCATCAAAGACCATAAACTCCCTGTTAAGATTTACACACGTGTTTTTGATAGAACCAGGCAGTTGTATGAGACTTCCTCATAGTCCCTCCAAGGGACAAACAGAAGCTCCCCATTCCAGTCAAGTCTGTCCTGGGGATTTAGTTTCTAAAATTTCATGCAAAACCATAGGGTCCCATTCAAAATTGCCTTTTGGGATTCTCTCTCCTATGAGCTAGTGAACAGCCCCTGAGACTAATGAAGACCCTTCCCCAAGAGAAGGAATGGCATGGTGGTATTAAACTAAACTGAATGAGGATCTGAGAAGCAAGGGTTGCAAAAAGAGTTGCTGAATTCTGCTGTTTTCCTAAGGGCACGAAGTGATTGTCTTGATCTCGGAATTATGAAAGAGGAGGCAATTAGTGTGGGGGAGGGGAGAAAGTGGAAAGTTTGTTCTTCTCTAGAGTTAGATGAATCCCAGAGCTCTATTGCAGAGGTGTCTGTGTAAGAGCCATACAGTTATGGAAAGAAACTTTGGCCAGTTATGGAAGGAAGATTGGCCACCAAACTAACACTGCAGTCATTCAAAGAAGAAAGGCCCAAAGAGAGCCCTAAGTCTTTGTTGGCCAATGAATGGAGGGAGGACTTCTGTCCTTCCAGCTGAGACTCAAAGAGGGATACACAAGGATTTAGACCCAGGGAGAAAAGGTGTGTGCAGAAATTTTAAAGTTAAGAAAGGCTTACTGGGTCATAGGCTGTGGCATATAAGCAGAAGCCACAGCCAGATTCCAAAAGGCTTATCTGCTGAAGAACATGCAATTCAAATCCCAATGGAGAAGAGATATTCAAGTCTTCTGGGGTGGGAAGGGCAGGGTGGCAGGACATCTGAGAAAGGAGAATAAATATATATGTACAGTTTTGCTTACACATGCATAGATGCCAAGAAAGTATGGTTGCCACAGAGATAGGGATCTCAGTGCGGGGGATAGGAGAATTTTTATCTCACAGTTGTACTTGTGGATTTCCCTCCTTCTGAATGTGATTACTTAAATAAGCACCAAGCCTCACATCTACATCAGGCAGCCAAGGGTGAAATATTGGAGTCTAAGATTTTGAGACATCATCACCAGATCTGGGGGGACCTCAGTATCTTGGCTGAATGGCCTCTGAAGAATTATCACTGGTCTCATGTCTTTTAAATTTTCTTTATTTGAGCAAGCTGCTCCATGTATTTCTGGCTTTCCCACTGGAAATTCTCTGCAATCCCCTCTCAGCTCCTTCTTCCTGAGTAATCTGTTGGTTTACTCTAACTTTCAAATTTTGGTGACTCTTCAGTTTACACCTCTAGCCCCAATGGTTACATGGATAGAGCATAGGAACCTCAAAAGAACTAACTCATCGTTTCTCCCCCACAAGCCCTCTTGCTGTATTCTCTGTTATTACCCAAGCCAGGAACGTGGAGCCGCCCTTGGCTCTTCCCTTTTCTTACCACCCCCCACCCCACCCACCCAGCATTCAATCCATCACCAACTCCTGATGATTTGACTCCTAACTATCTCTAGAATGTATATCCTCAGCCTCATTTCTAGCCACTACCACCACTAAGGACTTGAACTAAAGTGCGAGCTTTGATTATCTTTTGCCTGAATTTTTGCAATAACTCCTAACAAATCTTCCTAACTCCAACATGGGCCCCTCCAATTTGACCTGAATGAACCCTCTAAAATATCAATTTGACCATGTCACTCTCTTATTCAATCCCTTTACTGGCTCTTCCTCACCTATCACAATTGTTTCAGCCATAAAATACCTTAAAAAATGATATTTCCATAAGCAGATGTCCCATAGGCAGGCCAGATTTCTAAGGAGATACTCAAGTACAAGACGAAGTGTGGCTCATGCTCAATTCTTATTCCACTAACTGTAAGGCAACCCTTCTGTATCCCATTAGCCCAGTATACAGGGCTGAGGTTGAGGTTGTAATAAGCCGATAGGTCCCCAAACGTCATCTGAGGACTTCTGACTCACAAACTATAGGCCAGACTCCATTGAGTGCCTACAAGACACTTCTTGATTGGATCTGACTAACTCTTTACTCTTATTTCTTGTCACTAACTTCATGTTCCTTCAGATAACCAAATGCTTTGTGAATTTCACTCATCCAAGTCTTTATCTATATTTTTCTTAATACCTATAATGTCCTTTTCTGCCTGTAAAACTCCTATTTATCCTCTAAAACCCTGCCAAGCATCACTTTTAATAACCCTCATAAACATATGTACCATTTCTATGCCTTATATGCATTTTTATCATTGTGTGGGCCATGTGCCTTGTAAGAATGTGTTTACATATTCCCCAATACCCTAATCTCTAAGCTCTTTGAGAACTAATCCATGTCATACTCATCATAGTACCTCAGTGTTTGGCCTTATTCCTGACACATGGTATGTGTGCAGGAAATATTTGTTGAACTGAATCGAATCCAGATTTTTCCTTTACTGTCTTTCTAATACTAACTCATTTGGGCACTTGAATTTATTCAATTTAGTTCTACATTATATACTGACTTACACAGTGTTTTCATTTAGTCCTTATGACCTTATAAGTTTTGATAAGTTTCACTGTAAATTATACTGTTCTCTGTTTCATGTCTGACCTCACCAAGAAAACTCAAGTCCAAACGAGATGAACAGGTATTCTCAATACTGAAATGCGGCAGTAAAGAAAGTTGTACTGTAAGAAAGAATTTAGAAAATGTATGTCAAAGTACTAGAATACATCACTCTTCATTCAATAGTGTCCCAGGTGCTGTATCTGGCAGCCCCAGAGGTCAGCTCTCCCAAAGAGCTGGTAAACCATCTTTCCCTTCAAGGCCACCCAACTCCCACCGTTCTAAACCTGCTTTTTTTGACTAATTCAGTTTCCTAGATACCTTGATAACAGGATGATATTTCAGTCTCTGCAAATATAGGTTTCCCCACTAGAAAACACATGAACATTCTATTTAACACATTTATTTCTTATGTTTTTGATTCACAAATACGTCTTCCAGAGCAGATTCAACTTGAGTGCATTAAGAAAATCAATTTCATGTCCAGACAGAGTTGGCCCTAGGCCACAGTGACCATGTTAAGTTACTTCCCTCCTTGGCGGTCCTAAAAGCCAGCCACTGCTTTCTACTTCTTTGTTACTCCCTTTTAGTTTCACTTAACTACTTCTGTATAACACATTTACAGTTCACAAAGTATTTTCATATTATTTATTTTTATCTTCTTGATATCTAAAGATAAATATTCTTATCCCCATTTCACCTTCAAGAAAACTGAGGCTCAGAATGGTCAAATGATTTGTCAAAGGATCCGCACATCCTGTAAACTGTGGATTATTTTCCTTTGCCTGTTCCTTAAACCACAGTAGATTAAACTTTGGATCAAGTAGTTGGGAAGAAGTTTGGCAATGAGAGGAGAGGAAAGTATTATATGGAAAAGTAATCGTTCATGTGGAACAGCCAGTGATGAGAGGGGTGTGAGTAACACAAGGCCAGCTACTACAGTCAGAATACAGACTTGGCCTATGGAGTTCAAGAATGGAGAGTAGTAATGGAGAGCTAGATATCCATTTCCCCTATTTTTCAGGACACTATCCAAGGCTCTGCTTAATCTAAGAAGTTCATTTGTGGACATGTAGCCTCTACTTGTAAAGTAGTACAATGGGATAGCATAGTGGCTAGAAGCATGGATATTTGGATTCAGATATACCTGAGTTTGGATCTTACCATCACCGTTTACTAGCTCTGTGTTAATATATACAAGTTATAGACCTCTCTGGCCTCAGTTTCATTTTCTCTAAAATGAGGATAATAATGCCCTTCCTCATGGGAATTATGGTAAAAATTATATAAGATGATTGGCACATAGTAAGCATTCGGTGAGTGCTAATTTTAATGATAATGGTGATGATGATGATGATGATGATGATGATGATGATGATGATGATCTGGCTGTTGTAGCACTGCTTTTTGGTCTCTAGGCCACTCAGCAGATACTTGCTCTAAGGAACAAATGAACATCAGCTTCCCAGTGGTTCTATGATCATGAAAAAATCAGTCAGCTTCTCTAAGGATCAGTTTTTTTAGCTTCCAATTAAGAAAAATATTCCTAGCTCCATTGTCAACCAGAGCTGAGAGAAATAGCATAGATCAACAAGAGTATTTTGTAAGTACAACTTGGTATATTCTATCCCTCTTCCCCGTCACCCCTTCTCCAGAGCTACTTCCTGTCTGGACTGATATGAGAGTCTGGACAGCATGATGGTGGATAGAAAGAACAAGAATAAGAATTTCATCTACTGTGTCTCAACTCCCCCATATGCCTTGTAGCTCTAGGATCTTCTTTCCCTCCCACGAAGCACCCATCCAGGATAGACTATGCTGTGTACAAAGGAGTTTGAGACTCATAGAGAATTTCAAATGCAGTTTATTGCAGAAACACAAGGAAATGAGAGTTTAAGACCTCTCCAAAAAAGACAATGAACTTGCTTACACCATATGTACAAAACCAAAACAGCACAGAGCTGGTTGCAAGATATAGAATATTAAGGAGCTGTCCAGAGCATGCGCACTCCGTGCATGAAAGAAGACCTGCGTCTAACCCTCCTCTGGCTGACTTAGGAGGTGCTTTGAAATGTATTGTGTGTAGTGGTGATGGCTAAACTGTTTCTGAGGCAAAGCACAAAGCAGGGTCATAGTGGGGGACCGAGGTGACCAAAGATTTGAAAACTACTTTGGGAAGCAGAGCAGAAAAGAAAGAGCTGGGGAGATATGATGAACCAATAAAAGTAATGGCAGCTTTTTTCTTCAATAAGGCTGGGGCAATTGACTTTGGTCTTGCCAAACATATTTGGTAGAAATGGAGAGGAAGCGCTAACAGGATAGGATAAAAGCATCTCTTTATCTGGAGCCTCGGGAATGGCTGGTGGAAATAAACTTCACGCTGGAACTGCCACCAGAGGTCTTGGTGCCCCCAGAGCTGGATCCCCAGCCTCCCGAGGAGCCGCCGAAGCTGCCTCGGGAACTCCCGCCGCCGCCAGAACCCCTGCCGCCAGAGCTGCCGCCGCCCCCTCCAGAACCACTTCTGTGTCCCCCACTACTGCCGCCGCCGCCGCCGCCGCCACCTCCTGAGCCGTAGCTGCCGCTTCCAGAGCCGTAACTGCCACCTCCGGTGCCGTAGCTACTGCCACCTCCTGTGCCGTAGCTACCGCCGCCTGAGCCAAAACCTCGGCTGCCACCTCCACTGATGCTGGTGTGGCTGGTGCTCACAGCTGCAAAGGAACAAGGACGCTCGGTTATCTTCAACCACAGCTCCCTTTCCAACCCAGTAAAACCTCCACAGGCCCCTGAGAAATAGGCTTGTACTTACACACACTCACGTTGGGGGCACACTCTCCAGACATCCTGTAAGAGAAGAAAAACCAACCCATCATCACTCTCCAGCTTCACAAACCACTTTCCCAAGCTCTCTCAGCCATCCCATGGCTCCCTGTCTGCAGCTCCTCCTTGATCTGAAACCTAAACCAGTCCCCTCTGACTTCCCAAACCTCTGTCATTTTTTCTCACCATCAGGGAGCCTCTGTATAAATTAGAAAAGTCTTGCAGCTAATGTGGGTTACCTCTAAAAGCACTGACGTTAGCAAGACGACATCTGAGCCAGCCCCGATAAAGAATAAATTGCTCCATCTCAAAGTACTTCATGGAGACACTATGGCCCACTATAAAGAAAAGTGGAGGGCTCTAGCTCCCAAAGTGAAGCTAAGTCTTTCCTCTTGTACCATGTAGCTTTCCTTTCCCCATACACAGGATAAGCTGCAGTCACACGTCTGTACCTTCAACAGCAGCCAGCTTGCAATGGGAGGAAGCACATTAAGAAGTGGACAAAGAGCCCAGGGTCCCTTTCTCACCTGCACTCCTCTCCTTCCAGGAGGGTCCTGTAGGTGGCAATCTCCATATCCAGGGCCAGCTTGGTGTTCATCAGCTCCTGGTAGTCACGCAGCAGGCGGGCCAGGTCCTCCTTGGCCTTCTGCAGGGCGTCCTCCAGCTCATTTAGCTTGCCCTGGGCATCTTTGAGGGCATTCTCACCACGCTGCTCAGCATCGCTGATGGACTGCTGCAGCCCAGAAATCTGAGAAAGGAGAATCCAACACATGATGTACTCTCTTATTATCTAATCCCACCTTGACCTTCTTATTTCAAATTGATCTCTCCACCCCAGTGAGGCCAGTACTCCACCATGAGAGCTTAAGTTATCTCATGCATTCACCTGCCTCCAGATAACATATCATCATATTGACTTCCTCAAAATCTCTTGAAGGCAATGCAGCAGCCTCTCTTGGCCATGAGTCAAGTCTCCTCCACTCCTTGACATTCTTCTAAAGGCCTACCCTGAAACCTCCTGACTGCCTTTCCTCTCACTCACCGCATCTTAAGTCTCACTTTGGGTCATGGGCTAGATCACTCATGACCATCACTTCTATTTCTCTACAAGGTCATTTTTATAAGTTTCCTTAAAGAGAACCCAGCATGATGGCTGAATTCTGGAAACCAATATAGTCACCAAAAGAACTAGGAATAATAAGATAACCATGATATGGACTGTAAGATTCAAAAGTAGAAAAGTGTCCTCCAATTAATTACCTGTGGGTCCCCTCTTCCCCATCCCATAGAGCTAAGCAATAGAAGAAGGAAGCAAATACCTGCTTCTTGACACTGTCAATTTCAGATCTAAGTCTCTGGATAATCCGATTCAGCTCAGAAATTTCCATCTTTGACGTTTTCAAATTATCCCCATGTTTGCCAGCAGTGACCTGGAGCTCTTCATACTAAAGATGGTGGATCAAGTCAATTAGATATGGCAGAGTGCACTATGGCTCATGCGTACAAATATTAGAGAAAACACAGAATAGAAAGACAAGACATTTAAGAAACGTGGCCAGACAAATAGCGCATTCACCTTGGTCTGGTACAGGGCCTCAGCTTCGGCCTTGCTCCTCTGGGCGATCTCCTCATACTGGGCCTTGACCTCAGCAATGATGCTGTCCAAGTCCAGGTTGCGGTTGTTGTCCATGGACAGGACGACATTGGTTTCACTGATATGAGTCTGCATCTGAGACAGCTCCTGCAAGACATATTAGTTCAGCAACACTTATAGTGAGTGTAAAAAAAAAGAAAGAAAAAAGCACCTTAGACAGGGGATGGGGGGAAGGGGCAGGAGATGGAAGATCTATCTCTATTCTTCTGGATAGTGGAAGGTTCAGGCTTTAAAGTTCTCCATTTGGTAAAAGTGGTTGAAATTGGAGGACTCACCGCTTGGTAGAGTGCTGTGAGAAAATCGATTTCTTGACGCAAATTGTCCACTTTGGCTTGAATGTCCACCTTGGTCATATAAGCAGCATCCACATCCTAGGGGAATAAGAGACATCATGAAGTCAGTCTTTCCAGGACAAGTCCCTCTCAGCAGCTGTGAGGGGATTTTCCAAGTAAAAAAGCTGTTTGGGGTCTACTCCACACCTTTATATTGCAGATGGATCACAGTCCCCTAAATCGCACCACCCGGGATCACAATCACAAAGAAGCTTGCCTGACTTGCTGAGAACTTGCCTCCTCGCTTACTGCATGAAATACTG